GCGCCCCTCAGAGTCGAGGCCGCGCCGCGCCCCGCCCCGCGCGTTCGCCCCCGGGTGGTGGTGGTGTGTGAAACCTCCTCCTGGATGCGAGTACACCGCGGGTGCACCGGGACGAGCATGAGGTGGACGACGAGCACGCGGAGGACGACCCGGTCGTGATGGTCGCTGCTGGAGGCTGCGACGTTGCGGTGAGTGGCGGCTAGCGGCGATCTGGGTGCGTTGCTGCCCGCGCGTGAGAGCGAGAGAGAGAGAGAGAGGGAGAGGAAGGGGGGTGTAGAGTCCCGGGCAAGCCCGCCCGGGCAGGCCAGCTCCTAACCTCTCTCTCTTCTTCCTTCTGTCGTCGCTCGACCTGGTCCTCGCCGCCGCCCCCGCCATCTCTCTCGGTGCGGTGAGCTGCTGGACCATCCCGTCGGCGGCCAGGTGCACCCGCGACCGCGCGCGCCCGCCCTCTCCCCTGGCTTGTCGTGTTCCTGGTGGTATAGGAAGGGTGTCGCGTCTGCTCGCTCAAGCCAAGAGAGAAGAGACAGACAGAGACAGATAGTCACACGACTGCGCGCGTACCGTTTCCTTTTTCTAGTTTCCCCTCCCCCCTATTTTCTCGTATTATTTTCTTTTTCTTTTCGGTAGTGTGGGTGGGCTGCTGTCCTGCTCTCCGGGTCGATCACCTCTGATTGCCCCGGCAGTGGTGACACTCTGTGTGTAACGTGATAATCCGTTTCGGCTGACGTTGGCAAAAAGAAAAAAAAAGAAAACAACAGGTAAAGATTTCAAAGGAAAAAATTAAAAAAAAAAACAGCAGGGCAAAATGGAAAGGATGGAAAGGAATAATCAGATCAGGGGTGCGAGGACTTGGTGTACGTCGAGGCTCGGTGTGCACCGCGACAACACAGGGGGGCGTCTTTGTTGTCGTTGGAAAGTTGCCACATATTTTGGGTTGTCTCTTTAAAGGGAATGAATATATCTGTAGTACCCTTCCTTAAGTGATGCCAAAGCCAACGATTATTGTTATCTTGAGTTGATTTTTTTGCGGGGTGCGGGATATTTTTGATTGCAATTCGCAGTTTTTTTGAAGTGCATTGGTATGCGACTGGGCAGGGCGCATTTTTGCTGCACAGCTATGCATGTCGGGTGCCCGTTGTCGTCGGTTTGCATTCCGAATGTTCTGAATTTCAGGGGCAAGTCTGTCGGCTCAGACTTTGTCATGGCCTTTATAACTCATGTAGTTTGAGTGTTGCCTAAACCATACTTTTGTGTGGGCCATCCCCTGAACCTGCCTGAACTATTTAAAATTAGCAAATCACTTCACTTATACATGATAATATTCTTACTGCAGTTTTACCAAATGGTTAACGAAGGAGGGATGCAACTCTGTACCGCTGGAAGTTCATTCTGAATTTTATAATGGAGAGTAGCATCCATCGTTTAACGGTTCGCAGTATAGCCCAGTTTCTGAGTTTCTGAGTGCAGTACGTGTCGAAGTGCAGTTTGCTGGTTATAGTTCTGCTCCAATTGTTCCACCCGGGAGCACCTTTCGGAGCACCTAATAGGGCAGCCTAACCGCACTACGTGCTGCGTTTCGAACGATTTCTAAATGCACCTGCTATGTCGTACACCCAGAAAAATGATTTCTTGTTTCAAAGTGCATGCTGGCGCAAGATCAAATCCACTCGAGAAACAAGCGCAATATATCCTCGCGGAATAAGATATACAAGCTTTGTGTCGGCATTTGCTTGAAACGAAGGAAAAGTGTTCGTGAAACGAGAAATAATAGCCTTTCTAGATGTTGCTAGACCTAGATCAGCAACGCTGCGGCCTGGGCGCCTCGCTTCCGTGTCGCGGAAGCGTCTCATTCTCCCAAGAGCCCTTCCTGACTTCTCAATCCGCCTCAATCGCACCCTGTTGGAAAATCTTTCGAGCCCTGTTCCAAAACTCACACAATGTGATGTGACGCATATCACATTAGTTTTTCGAGAAAAACAAAAAGATCGTCCGGAAAGTATGTATGTTTCTCATAAGTTCGTACTGCAAATTACTGGAGCTCAGCGCCTGCGAGACTCGGGGTAGGCCTTCCCGCAGTACACGCTTGCACTGCAGGCGAGACGTTGCCTACCCACCAGGCGCCATGATACCTTGCATTGGCTGAACTTAGCAGGTTTGCAACAGACGTACATTTTGATGATTTCATTTCTACTTTTTTGCACAAAATCTGCCTATGGGTTTAGTGTGGACAACATGCATATTAATTCTCTATTAATATTCGTGTAGTATAGTTAATATTCGTGTAATATTGGTCTATAATTAGGGCCACTTTTTAGCAGAACTGCAAAATTTGTCTTGTAAATAATGCACATGCGCAAATAAAATTCAATTCTTAAAAAAAATGTCATTTAAATTTTGCTGAATTGTAGAGAGTTGCTTGGGTCGAATTTGAAATTTTGGGAGTTGGGTTCACTTTTCAAGTGGTAAGGGGCGTGTGTTCCTCGATTACGACAGTCAAATCTTTACTGGCGCCAATCATAAACTGGAACGTTAATCAGCAATCTTTATCAAAACTTATCAAAGCAGA